AGTGGTAAGCTGAATTTCCCCAATTCTTGGGGTAATCTTGCAATCACCATGTGTGTCCTTCCATAGGGATTCCATCTAAGAAATGCTAGGCACCCCTCTATATTTCACAAAATTACCGAATTCCCAAAGAAGCAAAACACACCAAAAGGGTTTGCTGCATGGGAATCAGAATTATCCCTGACTTCACAAATGAAACCTAATGTGTTATTAAGTGCAACTCACTACAGAACAGGTTCCCTTGTAATAAATGATTTTGAAGTGGTGGAGAGGTGTTTAAGAAACTAGAACAGAAATAGACCAGATCACCAAAACACTAGGGGTCTCACAATGCCATAGTTCAGTTAACTGCCAGCTTCCATTTTAGCCTGCCTATGGAGCTGCTCTTACAATAACTGTTAAAATATTTCTCAAAGCAGAAAATTTTACTAGGGAATATACCAGAAAGAGGAGAATAAGCAAGGAGTAAGGAATGAGTACAAGACCATTCAACTGTATGGAGCTAAGCATTTAATGAAGAAAGGATCAGAGCAGAGAAAGAGTTGTTGAAAGGACACCAAACAGACAGGCATAAGTACATCAAGGGTTATCAAACCACAGCCCAAGAGCCAAATCCAATCCATCACCTGTTTCAGTAAATAAAGTTTTATTGGAGCACCCAGCTATACCTGCATGTTTACATATTGTTTATGACTGATTTCATGCTACAACAGATAGCAGAATTGAGCAGCTGCAACAGAGATTGTATGGTCCACAAAGCTAAAAATATTTGCTGATCTCCAAAATATTTGCTGAAACATTTGTTGATCTCTACTCTAGATAGTTACAGAAGCTAAGTCACAGAGGGCACCAGGCTAATAGCTGTGATATAGATTTAAATAAAGAAGTAAGCTACTTTGGGAAAAAATAAAGCTAAGGCAGGGTTTCAGGACAATCAGTGATCTCTTCTAACTCCTATGAGCAAAGCCAGCCATGCTGCTTGGATATTTAGGTGGCTGAACAGCATAGGCCAGATGAGGGCCAAGGCTCAGCTGAGTGTTGGAAGCCCACTCCTCTCTTTTGATGAGGTTGTAAGATGGCTCATTTGCTACCTTACAGAAAAGGCTTTGAAGAAAAGCACAATGCACTGGCTTGTTGTCATCGGATTTAAATACTGCTGACTATAACATAGATGTGACACATACTCCAAATAATGATCCTCCCTAGTAGTGCTTGGACATGTTATTGGTTGCTCTCCCTCCTCTGCTTTCCCCTTACATGGTGATCATAGCAGCCTCTAAGTTTCTCTCCTTGAACCTCCTCTGTTCAAACTCTCACTCTCCTGGAGGCATTTGCATGAACATTCTTAGCTTCAAGTAACTTCTATAGACTGCTGACTTTCAACTCTGCATCTCCTAAACCTAAGATCCACATACCCACTGCCTTTGGAACAACTTTACTCCTCAAGTGCAATGCCTACAAAAACTCAGCTTCTCTTTGCCCCTAAATAAATGAATTCAGACTGCCTTAGTTAAAATCCTAACCTCTCCGCTACTAAGCTATGTAACTTTGGGCAAGTTACTTAAACTCTCTAAGCCCTGGTTTCCTCCTGTGTAAAGAGGGGATAACAATAGTGCTTACTACAGAGTGTGGTTATGAGATTTGAATGAGATCATGTATGAAAAGGACTTAAAACAGTGCCTGTTATTAGTGCATAGGAATGCTTGTGATCATTCTCAGCAAACTGACACAGGAGCAGAAAATCAAACACCACATGTTCTTACTCATAGGCGGGTGTTGAACAGTGAGAACACATGGACACAGGGAGGGGAGCACTACACACTGGGGTCTGTTGGGGGGAAATAGGGGAGGGACAGCAGGGGGTGGGGAGTTGGGGGAGGATGGCATGGGGAGAAATGCCAGATATAGGTAAGGGGGAGGAAGGCAGCAAATCACATTGCCACGTGTATACCTATGCAACAATCTTGCATGTTCTTCACATGTACCCCAAAACCAT